CCGCCTAGGAGTCAAGCTTGGGCAGATGTGAAGTTAGATTCTCCTTCCCCTTGCATAGCTGGAGGAGGTCAGACATGGCTCCCACAGCATTTCCTGACACACTGAGGAAGTTCAGCATTTCAGTCCACATTCATGGCCCTGTTAGGGTTGAGTACGGTAGCAATTAAAACTGAATCAGAACAATCAGCAAGTCTAGACTGGAATTGAAGTCCTTCCTTCTCAATCCAGTTTGGGAGGCACTGACATGTCCTAATTTGGCAGGCCATAATTAAAGGAACCCCCTAGACCCCTGCCATAATGGGTACCTTGTCAATTTAGGCAGTTAAACCTCATCAGATTAGGATTGTTGGATCAAACACAGTTAGCCAATTTTAGGAAAGCATTTTTAGTATGCGATCCAAATATTGCATGGGACATGCTGTTAGGTGCCTGTGCGTCACAGAATAGAACTCCACTGGGCCCTGCACCGCCCTCACCATTGAGACGCACTTATAAAAAAAAAAAGAAAAGAAATTTTGTCTATCTGAAATTCAGATTTAACTGGGTGCACTATATAATTTCATTTGCTAAATCTGGTAATGCTCTATCATCTACTCTATTGGACCAGAAAAGGGGTGAGATTCATCATTGCTCCAACGTTCCTTTGCATGGACCCCTAACACTTCTGTCTGGTACAAAGCAAGGATTCTCTGTTTGATACCAGAGAGGGGTTGTGAGGGTACTTGATGTTCCAGCTCTGATACAGACACGCCTCAACCTTTCCTTACAACCCATCACCAGAAAAGCCCATTCAGACAAGGAATGAGAGTATCATTACAGACAGGGCTGTGCCACTAGTGACGGCGGCACACGTATCTTGGATGCTGGCCCATCAGATTGAGAGAGAGGAGTGAGAGAGGGGGCTCTTAGAAGGGGGCAGGCAGAAGGAGTGGGAGTGGGGGGAGAGAGCATGGTAGCGTGTGTACCTTCCATGATGTGTCCAGTTCCGAGGGAGGAAGTTGGTCAGTGGTCTTCTCTGGAAACCACGACTGGAAGCCTGGCCCTGGGGAGGCCCTGGATGGTACCAATGGCTAAAGCTCTTGGCTGTGAATCCAAGGGCTGGGTGTTCAAGGTCACTCAGAAGTCCCTCACAAGAAAGGCTGGTGATCTGTTTCTGAAAAGTCCGCCGCAGGGAAGGAGGGCGGGGCTGGGAACAGTGGTGGGAGACAAGATGGGCCACAGTGTGTGTGTGTGTGGGGGGGGGGGGGAGCCAGCTGTAGAAGATGGAGCAGAAGGAAAGCCGCTGGGGGGCAAAGAGACACAGAAAGTCCAGAGACGTTCTCTTGGGTCCCATGTTTCCATTCCTGTTTCCAGCTGGGTCTCCTCTTTGGAGATGCGTCCAATAACACCCCCCTTTGGGTGCCCCCGTGGGGTGGGATGGGTCTCAATTACATACTTGCAGCCCTGCTGTCTTTGTCTAAGAGAAAACAATACCCAAGAAAGAAGCAAGGTTCCAGAAGTTCAATTCAGTTCATTGCCATTTATTTTATTTAAAAATAAAAACAAAAGCCAAACGTAAATGCCAAAAATAAAAAAAAATTATTTTTAAAAAAAAATCTGTTTCCAATGAAAATACAAACACTTTGGGTGGTTCCCCGGGTTTTCTCTCTCTTCCTGTGTGTGTTCCCTGTAGTCGGCTCTGGGCTCAAACCAATCAAATGAAGTGACCCCCAGTTCTGACTGGAGCCACAAAGCACGTTTGCACCAATTAAATTACACCAATATATTATTATTATACCTTTGAAATGCCTTTCAGACCAATAAATTAAAAAAAAAGAAGACAAATTCAAATAAAAAAGTCAACTTTTTATTACCAAAGGCAAAAAATAGAAATTAAATAAAAGTCACAACATGGATTTTTTTTTAAAATGTGCAGTCAAGTTTCTCTCTCTCTCTCCCCTTCTCTTCTAGGGGTGCCAGCGTGCCAGTAACCCCTACAGAGCATTTCCAGTTTGGCCACAAGCAGTCACTTGGTCATTCACATTTGTGCTCAAGACAGCAGGCCGGGCGAAACACGCCGGGCCCCACCCTGAAACGTGCTCCCGCCACGGAGGAAGCGCCCCCGGGCACAGGGATGGGAGTTCCGACGTGACTCGGCATTGTCATTACGTCCGGGGTCTTGAAGCACTGTCTGAAAACTGATCGTGCCTTGACATTTTGCTGTAAAAAGAAATAGAATTCCACCCCTTTGGCAGATGTGTAAACGGAGACACTGAGAGTCCACAGAGGCATGGGAAGGTGAGTGGACACTGACTCTCTCTTGCTCCTTCCTCTGACTTGCTCCTTCCTCTGGGTCAGGAAAGCATCGCTGAGATCACACACCCATGACTTCGGGGGTGGGGGGTGGGGGGGGTGGGGAGAGGGGGGAGGACTGCCTGGTCAGGAAGACAAGGCTCAGTGGGGATGCAGAGATGCTGATTTCAAGGTGCCTGTCTCCCCTTCTACTCTGAGCTTTCCCTAGGAAGGCCAGAGTTAGAATGGAGCCCAGAACCAGAGGATATTAGCAGAATGGTAGCGCTAGGCGGGACCCGAGAGGCTGGCTAAAGCATCCCTCCAACCTTCCCTTTGGGGAAAGCTTGGTCCCAAAGATGCTGCAGGCTGCCTATGGCCACCAGCTAGTTAGCAGCAGACGGGGAGGCAACCCAGAGCCTTTGTCTCTGAGTGGAGGCCTTTCTCTGCCATCACCTACTGAGTTTATTGATGAAAGATAGCATACCTGTGTTCTGGGAGAGGGGGCCTTAGAGGGTAGGGTGATTTTTGTTTAATAGAGCTGTTTTTATCTAAAGACTAGAAAGAGGGGAATTGCTACCTAATCAGAATCACTTGGCGAAAGGGAAAATTCACATCGGCAAGTAGGTAGGTGTCATATGTAAGTCATGCTGGTGGTGAGGGCCCAGCGGCGGGGCCGTCCAGGCTGGGCCCTCAGAAAGGGCTGCATAAAAGGAGGTGGGAGCTCAGGGGCTACAGGATGCCCTCCGTCTGCCCACGGTGCTACCTAGAGGTTTTTCCCTTTGGACCTTGCCTGGAGTTTCAGAAAGAAGGTAGAATTGAATGAAGGGAATGGAGCAGCTTCCCATCATACATGCTTGGCTAAACCTGAAAAATTAAAAAATGATAATAAATGCACAGGTCAGAACACCAGAGGTGGTAGAAAGGGGAGCAATGGAACCAGGCTCCCCTGATGAATGTTCTTAGTGCCGCCGTAGGGCGAATTTGTCCCTGCCTCCCTAGGCTGCTTGTTGCTTTTCCCAAAGAGCGCCTCAAAATTAGTCTTCTTTGTAGATCTGGGGGACTCTCTGAGACCAGCCATCTGGAATAAAGGTGGTCGTTGTTTCAGGCCAGTGGGACCAGAAGTCATCCCCAAGAGATCTTTCAGTCCAAAGCCAGCTTCCTAAAGAGGTGGTCTGGTGGGAGTGAGTCTCGCCATCTGTAATCTAAGTGCTGAGGGGTAAGACTTGTAGCTGTGCTACCTTTTAAGGTAGGAGCCCTTTGCCTTAAAGGGCCCCTCTTTTTCCCCTCTCCCAGAAGCACCTCGCAAACCTCAAAGGAACTGCTCCCTCTCCTCTCTGCTTCCTCTCAACCCACTTTGCCCTTTCAAAACCGTATGTGTTTAAAGGGATGGAACTTTCTTTTCCCCATATGTCCAGGAGCTGGTATTCAAGTTCAAAACCCTAATACAGCACACTGAACTTGGGAGAAAAGCATCTTCTGCCTTACTTTGCTCTCTTCATCCAAATCCATACCCACCTCCACACTAACTTCTGAGAAGCCAGCTTGCCTCCCTCTGAGGAGTCCACACCACGTGGACAGGGAAACCATTTTTGCCATTAGTAAAGGGGCTATTGGTCATGCCAGTTAATCCTTTGGGAATCGCAGCAGTGAGTATTCCGTTGCACTGAGGGCATCCGTGCGTGTGAGAGCCAGGAGGCAGCATTCCAGTTAATACTGAGACATTAAAGATACCAATTGGCCCCTTGCAGGTGCAGTTCAACTTCCAATCATCTGTGCAAAGGCCCCAGGGAGTCTCCGTGCTCCACGGTACACCATAGTTTTGAGCTCTGGTATTACCACCTTGTTCCCTCTCCACCCCCGGGAGATAGGGCAGACAGCAAGAAGCTGAAAATCCACCAAGGGCCAATTCCGTTTCCTCAGAAGAGGTCAAAGCATTCTTTCTGACCAAGGATTATGTTCCATCCAGGATTGAGTCCCAAATTGACCAATGCCACACTGGTGGCATAAAAAAATCCCACAGGATGCATTCACCTAACTCTTAGAGTTTCCACCAGGCCACGGATGGCACAAGTGCCTCTGCTTCCCTTCTCATTCCCGTGGCAGACATGACTAATCCATCAGAGCACTCATGAGAACAGTAGCCACCCACACAATGTGCTCGGCAGCCACTATGAATGGATCACTGATTCAAGCTCAGGTTTTTGCAATCTCCTGGCCAGCCCCAGGCAGTCAGAACACACTTGCTAGTGTGAAGGGTGGAGAAGCAAGTGTTCTGGGCTCACCCAGAGCAGATGGCCCCAATCTCCTTTGCACCCCTTCCAGAAGCATTTGGAGGACTTCTCCTAGGGCCATGCTACTGCTTACATATGCTTCCTCCCAAGCCAGTACACGCGCAGGCCAGCACCAGCTACCCTGGACAGCTGGCTCTCCAGGGCGTGCCACAAGGTAAATGTCAATGAGGACCCACCACTGGACTCTCCCATCAAGAGATGGAGCACATAGCCCTAGCTGCTTCCACCCATAGAGCCCGGCGGAGCTGGCCAAGAGCCCGCTTCTCCCTCAGAGGCCCTGGTTCAAAGCCACACACTTGGCTCCGCAAGATGCCACCAGTCCTCTTGGCATCTCCTGATGAGCCGCTGCACCGAGGGCACCCCCGAGGGCACCCCCCTTCAAGCAGTTATTGCTGGCCTTTCTCCCGCGTCCCCACCCCCACCCCGCACCACCCCCACCCTCGCGCTCTGTTCCCAGCGTGCTAGTTGAGCTTGTTGCAGATCTCCAGCGCCTTCTTGTAGACCTGAGTCACGTCATCCATGTCCGCGAGGAGGGAGAAGCTGCTGTCTCCCAGTCGGTTCCGGTACCGCTTCAGGTACTGGGGCCGAGGCCGGCTCTGGAGCCTCTCAAAGTCCTGGATCTGGAGGAAGTTCTCGGCAGAGACGCAGCTGCGGAGGCGCTGGCGGGCGGGGCGGTTCTCCTGCAGGTCCAGCAAGTCGGAGGAGTCGCTGGATAGGACACTGTCGTCGCTGATGACGCTGGAAGGCCGGCTGTAGCTCCGCGAGAGGCCGTCGGCCGGGACGCCCGGCTCGGCCAGGGATTCCAGTGTGGGCATTTCGGGGCTGATGAGGGCCGGGTCCCTGGGGCCTGCTGAGTATTTGCTGCTGTGTTTCAAGATGCCTTTCCTCCGGCAGGAGAGGCTGTGGGCACCCACCCTGGTGGGCTCTGGGGGCCGGGGCGAGGGGCTGCTGCTGCCAAGGCCATCATTACTGTCCAGCAGCTCCGAGGACTCGCTCCGCTCCGGGGAGGAATAGTAACCTGATTCTCGCTGCTGGGTCTTTTTTAAGATCCCTTTCTTGGGCATAGTGGCTGCCTGCTTGGGGCTGAGTTTGCCGGGCCCCTCGGCCTCCGGGGAGCTAGTCAGAGGCAGGCCTGTCCGGCACATGTCCTGCTCCGCCTTAAAAGCAGAGGGTAAGGCCGGGCTGACCATGCCTTCAATGAAGCCGGTGCTGTGGGACCGATGTTCACTGTTGCTTCGCTTCTTCAAGATCCCCTTGGGCCTCTTAGAACTCAGCTTGGGCGGGCTCTCCGGCACCATGTCCTGGCCAGACTGGGCAAAGTCGTTCTCTTTCTTGGACTTCTTCAGGGACCGCTGTCGCTCCAGCACGACCTCAGACACGGTCGGCTTGACCGGGCCCTTGACCTTGGCTTCGGCCTCGGCCTGCAGCCCGGTGGAGCGGTGGTGCCAGTCGATGATCCGTGCCAAGAGCGGGGACTCGGAGTCGGGGAGGGTGTCGCAGTCACAGGCACTGCTCTTGTAGCCCCAGTTCACCCACCAGTGGTTGGCAATGTCCTCGATGGTGGCCCGGCGGTCGGGGTTCACCATCAGCATCCACCGGATGAGGCCTCGCGCATCTAGGGGGCAAAGGATAAGACGGGTCAAGCATTCCATGAGGGCTCTCAGCGTGGCTTTGGGAAGGGGAGACCCTTGTATCAGAGCCTGCATTCCTAGCACTAGGTTCGCCGAGGAGCCCTGGTGGTGCAGTGGACTACTGACGGGAAGGTCAGCCATTCAAACCCACCAGTCGTTCTGCAGGAGAAAGATGAGGCTTCCTACTCCCATACAGCCTCAGGAACCCAGGGAGGCAGTTCTACTATGTTCCACGAGTGTAGGGGTGGAGTCTAGTCTGTCAATCAGGATATAGCCAATGAGGCCTCTGTGTGGGCATGGCCT